AATTATAATTATATTATATTATATTACGAGTTTGAATTAAAAAATTATAAATTATAAATTTTATTATGAGTATTATGGGTATTATAAAAGTTTCATTAATTGTACTATGTTAATTTTTACACAATTTAAAAGTTAAAATTGTCTTTAGACTGCTTTTGATTTTAATTATAAATCATTAAAAATAATTTCAAAAAGTATTTTTAAGGAGATTTATCAAACACTAAAATCAACTTCTGCAGAGATGATTTTAGGATGAAAAAATAATACCAAACTAAGCCATTGTCTAACACATATGGTTCTCCAGAAAAATTTGAATTGAACTTCTCCGCAGCAGATAAACTTGTCGTTTCTTCTTTCTTCGCCTCAGCCACTCTTTGGTCTCAGGCGTATTTCTGATTCTTCAACTTCCAGTTTGTGGGTCTTCCAGAGGTAAGTGATTTTGAAGCTTTTCACTTTCATTATTTCTGGTTTCTTTCAAATGATGTCGTTTGGAGCTTCATTTTTTTTTTTTTTTTTTTTTTGCTTCTTTTTTTTGGGAACTGTTTTACAACAATTTTGAAACATGACTGTGTAGCGTCTTTGACGATGTTTTGGTTTTGTTTATTGCTTGATTTCGATTAACACGTTTCGAGGGAAGCGTTTATTTGATTCTTAGTTTTCTTATTTCTTTAATCATTTGTCATCAAAAAGGCGTCTGAGGGCAACGCCCACAATGTGTTTGATGAAATGCCCGTGAGAGAATGTCTTGTTCTGTTGCATTTGTGAAGTGGGCTTTTCGAGAACGTATTGCTTTCAAAGTTCTGGAACATTTTATTTGTTTTCAAATTCGTGGGGTGTAGACGGTATAATTTAAGATGGTATATCTCCCATGGAAAAACCCGAGTTTTTTGTTTGTGTCGACTTAATTCTAATAACTAACTAATATAACAGTAATTTGTGTTTAAGGCTTTAAGCGACCAACGATTTGTTATCGTTATAGAAGATTGTCATTTATCGTTTTAGTTTTCTGTTTCAACAATTGAATTTTATGCGCAGAGCTGAAATCTCAGTTTTACAGGACGATGCCACATAGAACCCGACCTATGACGGCACTCTTGGTTTTCACTGGAGTGAATGCTGTACTAGTTTCGACCATTGGCCCGGTCTATGATTTTGTCTGCTTTCTCCCATATTGGGAAAGAAGGGTATTTTCTTTTTCCTCTCTTTTCTTTTTGCGTTTCTTCCTTGTTTATTTTTCTCTTTTTCTCACTCGTATTAGATCATTTATTTTGAAAACGAAAGTAGAATTCTACCAAATACCAGTGACAGCAGCACCTTGAACCACATACATTCATAGTTTGACATCAACCTCAAGTTTCAACTAAATTTGACCGTGTCAGAAGATTATTAGATCTATCTATTTGTTGTGTGATATGAAGATCTGCAATTATGACAAACATTCTGTCGCGGGTTTATTATCAATTTAATGCAATTCGACTTATCCAACTATAATTTTTGTTTTTCGCCGAGATCTTTTCCAGAATGTAATGGCTACTTGTGGCCTAGAATATCTTGCAAGTGGAAATGGGAAAATGTTGGTGTATAGCAATTATTGAGGTTGGCTAATGTTAGGTAATGCACCAAAAAAAAAAAAAAGTTTGAAACAACTTCATTCGTTCTGAAGTTTCAATTAGCTGCAACTTGACCAATCTGGCCGTTGTTTTGAAAATCTTGAAATGCTTCGGAATTTGGATGGGTGGGGACTGATTTCTAACCACCAGTTTTTATCTCTCAAAAGCCTAATAAGATAATAATAACAATCGACTCTTTTTGATGTCTGATTACAACCTTAGTACATGTAAGTTTGATCAACTTGACGTTGTGGTCTATGAAACAAATTGGCAAGGTTTGTCTTACGTGCACTTGCCCAACTCTTCAACGCACAAGACGAGAATAACTTGTGTGGAAACTTTCAAGTGTAGCATCATGCATTCATTGATGAGGATTATCATATCAAATAAAAATCTTCCGAAACTTTTAACTAAATTAAACGAGCTTTTTTTTTTTTTTTTTGCTTGTTTTTGTTGCAGAGGGAACGGTGTCACCAAGAGCGCGAAGCTGCTTTAGCAAAGGATTCTCAATTAAAGTAGAATTGGTTATTAGTTGAAATCTCTTAAACATCAGGTTCTTAAATTTTTGTATTATTTAATGAGGTTCTAGTATCTTCTTAATTATCACACAAGAGGATGCTAAAACTTGTTTACATGCCAAGAAGCTATGAATCTTCTTTTCGTATACATTGTAGATTTTTTGCACTGGAATATAATTGAAATAACAATATCATGATTATACATTATATCATCGTTAATACCCTTTGATCAAGCTTCATATGGTAACAGAAATCTTATGCTTATGCTGCTGCTTCCTTGGATGGTGAAAACTTGCTAGAATTTTGGAAGCTTTATGGAAGTGCAGGAATTATGTTAACCCAAACCTTCGTCTTTTCTTCCATAAAAATTAATAAATGAATAAAATTTTGAGGATAATGAATGTTTTTGCATGCGCATTCATATATAGGGTACAATTCTCTAATTAGATGCGAATAGTTGGGCCTGCCATCGACATAAGCTCATGACTTACAAGGGTCAGTTTTGTAATAGAGAGTCTAAAAAATATCCCCTGTTTTGTCTAAATACAACTTTTGAGTTAGTTTTAAAATCCAGAAAGTATCTCATGTGTTTTTCAGCCCATACAAAAAGTATCAATTATTTTAACTTTTTAGGTTTATTTTTTTTAATGGCCAAATTGTCCTTAGATATCTCATATATTGTCTAAATTTGTGCTAAAATGGCCAAATTATACTGAGAGGATACTTTTTAAATTTTCTTTTTGGCCTCGTTCATTTCACCGATTTGAGTTTTCAGTTTTAGGTTTTTACAATAAAAAATTCTCAGAAAATGTCACATCTCAGCTTGAATTAAAAACTTGAATTCGCGGAGTGAACGAGACTTTTGTAATATCATCGACATGAGATGGTCCATTAGTTGATAAACAAAAGTTTCTGGGGTGCTTGGGGGCGTTTAGTACAACCCAAATGGTCATATGTGGTTCAAATTGAAAGACAAAAATGGTCACATATATGATATGGTTTCTTTATTGCTACCACATCAGATGTGGTTAATTTCATTTGTAACTAAATATTTGCCATGGTAGGATTAGTGCATGAATCGGCCCCTCCCCTTTTGTTCAAGAAAAAAGAAAAACTACAGAGCAGGACAAATGCCTGATATGGGGTCTCAACTACGGCCCAATGCAGAATCGGCTTTAGAATTATTAGTGCCGTCTCGTCTTAAATCAAGCCTTTTAAGCACCACTAATCTCCTTTAACATAGGATTAGAAAAGTTGATTACCTTCCCCAACTCACGCCTCTATAAATTAGAATGGGATTTTTCAGCTAGTCATTATCAAAGCAAATATCATTATCTTTGATGTTGAACTTTCAACTAAATGGCCCTAGTGCAAAGTTTCAAAAATATCTCAAATCACACCAATTTGATTTAAAAAAAAAAAAAAAAAAAAAAAAAAACATTGAGATCAAGCGCACCTGATGATTGATTATTCTTGTTGTTAAATGTTCAAATTTTGTAGCTTAAAAAGATGACACAAACTACCATCTTTAATAAATTTATACATAGGTCTCATCCCTCACAACAATAATGTACTCCGACAGCCGTACAACGTTGCCAACCTTGATGATAATGGAAGGATCAATGGACATTTTATGTCACAAATGTGTTTTTAATTTCTAATTAAAAACCATAACCTGCCAACTTCATGTACCATTACCATCTCGGCTCTGCTGCTTATTCAATTATTGCCTCTTTATATCAACTGCCTATGTGTATATATTTTGGTGGCAATTTATATGATAATTTAATGTTGATTATTTCATGTATCATGCAACTCAGCTCGCAACTTAATTTTAAGTTATTGAAAAGAAATGATTAGAAAATTTTTCGGGTAAAAGACTAATATTTTTTTCATCAATATATAATTGAGATTATTTGTTTTTGCTGAATAATAATTGAGAATTTTATTTTATTATTTTTTTTTTTTTGCATCATCTAATTGTTAAAATTTAGGTAGCATGATACGTCTAAAATTATCCCAAAATTTTGAAATGTACTGGAGTTTAAACCAATCTATGTGCCGTGAAATATTTTTGTTGGTCAAGAAAAAAAATTAAATTAGCTTGATGAATTATGGTTAAACTGGTGGTAAAAATCAGTCTTCTTCTCGAAATTATTGTGGTTTGATAATTGACTTTGATGCTTTATGTCCTTGAAAATTGGGCTCCAATGACTTGTGAAAGGGATTGCATGATTGCTCTACAACACTCTGATTAGTGTTTAAGATTGGAGGTTTACAGCACACGTGGATGAAATTATGGAGATAATTATTAGAGATCTGAAAATCTTATCCTATTACTACTTAATCCATCATTAGCTGTTGTAAAAAAAGATTAAATCAATTATTGATCATCTTTAGCGGATGCGCTGAAAGTGATTTTCCTATAAAACCGGCCTGAATGAAAATTAAGGCGAGTGTTTTGCTTGCTAGTTTGAAGTTTTGGTTCTCAAGGAATATATATATATATATATATATATATATATATGTGGCAGGGTAAAAAAGCCAAAAAAAAATGAATAATGTATATTTTTGAAGAGTAGATTTTATTAGTTGAATTCTTATGTTTCTCAGGGTATGTGCATAAATAAGTAAAACTCTGGACGAATTTTTTTTAAAAAAAAATAAATTTTTGTAAATTTTTTATTTTGATTTATGGATACTTTTCCACAAAAAGAAAAAAAAAATTTACGATCAATTTGCTTCCGATTGATAAAATCATAACAAATCAAGTAAATTATCAATTTACTCAGTACGTTTTTTTTTTTTAAAGGGAAATTTACTCAGTACGTTACTAAGTTATTAATTTAAAGACATAAAACTATAAAAAAAAATTATGGTTTAAAGATAAGTCTACAAAATAGACCTTCATCACTATTTCCCTTAGTTTAATAGAATTAACAAAATTTTGTTATCATAATGGTTAGTAAAACACGAGAAACATCATACAACAACAACAATAATAACTCTAATAATTATAAAAAAGTAAAGTAAAATAATCATTCTAATGATAAAGGATAATTCCAAAATCCTCCAATGTGTTATGGATTTTGTTCACAAAATTCTATTATTTTTATAAAAAAAACTTTTAAATTAAAAGTTTTCTAGAAATTCAAAGCTAATTGGATTGGCAAATTTTTATATAATTAACACATTTACTATGATATAAATTGTGTCCAAACAAACATGGTAGATGTTAGGAGATTAACAAAACATCCCTCTCGAAACAATAGTTCTGTATTCATTTCTCCTTATAAGATGTGTGGATATGAGTATTTAACTTATATATATATATATATATTGAGTCATTTAGGAGACGTTTGGTTCATGGATTAAAATCATAAGATTAGAACTATTTTTTATTTACATGTATTTTTTATGAGAGAAAACACTGTAATGAACCATGAATCATAATTCGAATCGGGATACGAATCCCCCAACCAAATAACCTTTTAACTTCTCAATACTTTGTAGTGGTAGATTCAATTTTTGTTCATAGTCAAATACCCTTATATTTGATGATCATTTGAGCTATTTTAAAGTCTGTATTGACTTAATTATTAAATGAAATTTTCACATTCAAATAAATAAATAAAACAAACAAACAACAGAAAAAACAGAAAACTATCAGGGAGGAATTTGTAGAAACTTTAGGATGGATTTTTATTTTGAAATTTCTCCGTTCACTTTGCTGATTCGAGTTTGTAATTCGAGTTGATATGTAATTTTGTGTCAGAGTTTTTTACTGTAATAAAAAAGTTAGATGTGACTGTTTCTAAAAACTTTTTATTGTAACAAAATTTAAATTCTAAACTCAAATTTTAAACTCAAATTGACAAAATAAACGGATCTTATAAATCCCATGGATCAGCAAAAAATCAATCTCATGGCTCAGTGCTCCACAGACTGCAGTTCACCATTTGTTGTCGGAAGAAAAACGCGTAATCCAAATTGCCCTCTCAAGGCTCAAACTCATTATCCGAATCTGAACTTGAAAATAATAAATAAAAACTTATAAAATATCCTATTTTTGCAGCGTACGGATGGACAATTACACGTGCCCGGAATCCCCGTTATATTTTTTGTCTTATTAAATGAATTAGGCGACTCCATTTTTTATTCATTATTCAGCAATTTTTTTTTCCTTTTAAACGATCCCATTGGCATTATTTTTGGGGAATAAAAAGACAGAAAAATGGGCAATAAATTGCCACATTCGTGCAGAGTGGGCGCGTGGGGATAAGGGGGTGGGCGATGGTTGGGGTTGAGGGGAGAGAGAGCATAATAAAAAAGGCCAAAAGGGACCCACCGAATGAGCAAAGGCCATTTCGCCCAGATTCATTCATGCTTCTGTAGTTCTGTACATGTGCACTCTACGCTTTCCCCACTCGCATGTGCATTTGTCCCAATTGCCGCTTTACGATTCTTTACAATAATGTATAACATGAATATCATATATATTGTTGCAGAGTAAAATTTCAAATCCTAAGTTAGATAATGGATGAGACCCACGCATCATAATTAAAGGTATTAAATGAACGGAAACAGTTCTATCAAGATTGTGTATAAATTTGAACAACCCGACCCAACCCGAAAAAGGTAATTTATAGTATTATTTTTTATTTTTCTGCTCATTAAATGTCTGACCCGATGTGTTTGGGACGATTTATAAGTTGAGTCTATAACCACCTGCATACACCCACGCATCATAATTAAAGGTATTAAATGAACGGAAACAGTTCTATCAGGATTGTGTATAAATTTAAACAACTCGACCCAACCCGAAAAAGGTAATTTATAGTATTATTTTTATTTTTCTGCTCATTAAATGTCTGACTCGATGTGTTTGGGACGATTTGTAAGTTGAGTCTATAACCACCTGCATATCACAACCTAACTCACACAAACATGCCTGATAAGGAGCCTATGAGTGTGGACTGATAAATATGGTTGTTGTTGCAGTGCTTGCTTTGAATGGATTTGAATTAAGCCTCTAATTTATGTTTGCTTTATGTTTAATGTTGAATGGACAACTTTGCTTCATGTTTAATGTTAGATTGATCTTTGAATTGCTATCTATTTGCTGATGGACTAATCAGTATTATTTTTATTTAA